AGCTGGGAGGAGGATGAGATAGCGTTCCAGCTTCAGGGTTATTGCCCCGTATATTGCAAGGGCTGCGATATTCGGGGCCATGGCCTTGACCTTTATAAAGAGACGAGGCAGATTTGTCAGATTAGTGATTGAACTTATGGGGTAGAGAGCTGGTACATTCAGTGTTGGCAAAAAGGGCCAAAGGTAGCCCACTTGCCTGGCTTCGTCTACGTCTACCCACTACTACAACTACTCTCCGGCGACATCCGAGAAACTGATCAAACTCGGGTCTGCGGTCGGTCGAGGGTTGGGTGCCCCTCCCACCTGTCGCGGTTATTTTATTCTCTGCCGTGTTGTAGTGTTTTCATGTTTTTCAGTACAGGTATCCATGCTTTGTTAACTTTATGTGTTCCCTCTCTCCTGTTGAAATTGTTATGCCCTTGAAAATTTTAGTTCCCTCGAACTTTATCCTGCAGCTTATTTCCTTACGGGCATGTTCTGCTATTGCAGACTTTTCTGTGTGGCCTAACCGGAAGCTTGCTCTGTGTTCTAAAATTATTGTGTTTACCGATAGTTTCGTAGTTCATATAAATACTTCCGTAAGTGCACGGTGTACGGTAGATGTTTACCGAGGCTCATTTCTGTCTTTGGCCGATTTCAAGTATTCTTGTCGGCTTATAGACAGTCTTGATATTTTCTATACCGAGAAGACTTTCGATTCTGTCAGTTATTCTAGGTACATATGGTATAGGATTATTTTCTCCTTTGTCGCTCTTCATCTTCTTTCTGGAATAACCGTTAGCTCTGAGCGCTTTCTTCAGATGTTCTAGCTCCGTTGGTCCGCAGATTATTTTAGCTCGTTCTGTTAGAGTCCTGAGAAACCCGTATTTTTGAGATGGGGGTCGATGTTCGCCGGTTTTCTGTATACAATATGCCTGAGGGTCGTTGTTGGTGAACTTGATGTTGTGGTGCACGCTGTTCAGGTGTGCAAGAAATTCGTCTAGTTTTTCTCGTCCGTAGCTCCATACAATGAAAGTGTCACCATTCATATCTAAACCATACCTTAGTGTACGTGCACATACAAGGCGGAATCAAGCGAGGCGTAGCGTTGCGAGCAAGGCGGAAAATACAAACTAATATAATTCAATGCATACTGGTGACGAGCCGTAGCGGGTCGTGACGAGTCCGCGGCGAGCGACCCTCTCCAAAACAAATCAGTTTGTCTTTGAGCGTGAAGGATTGCGCATTAAATATGGTGGATATCAAAGAATTAATAAATGAGATATTTTTGCGAACCCCTATGGGATCAAACAATTGTGATGTAATATCGAAAATGTGCTAGGAAATAGCAGCTTCTTGTGGAATAATAAGTAAGTAGTAAACACATATTCACATATTGATATAATTTATTTATAAAACATTATATTGAAACGGTACAACTCCTTCATTATTGAAATATTACATAAAACAATTCCTTATATCCCTAGTTTGATCTGGAAAACTATTTTTACTATTTTCCTTTAAATCTACGTTTTCCTTTGTGTCTTCTGTTAGGGCGATACCGTCTTTATCAATAATTATATTATGCAACACAAAAATGCAATTAACAATTTTTTCGGCATTTTCTGGAGATGCTTTTGTTAAAATACGCCAAGGATTCCGAAGGCACATTCGATAACTACGCAAGAGATAGATGATGTCACCGAAATTGAAGGGAATTCAGAAATAGAAGGCGAAACTTCAGCTACGGATCAAGAAACTCCGACCGTATCAAACAACAATAGTTATACAAAAAGAACGAGGGGTGCTGGGATTGACTATGAATTGCTAAATCTAGAAAAAAAGAAGATTCGAATCATCGAAACACAACTAGCTCAGTCAGAATATCCCAAAGTGAAAACCAAAAGATGATTTATATTACTTTTTAATGAGTATCCATAAACCTTTAAATGATCTCCCGATTGTTCGACAAATGTTTATTCGCGTTAAAATACGGGAATTACTTTATAGTCAAATTATCAGTGCAAACCAATATCAACAAAATACAACAAATGGTTTAAATGCTCAAAATTCTGCAGTTAACACATTCGTTCCCAGTCAAAGCCCTATCATCCATCATCTGTATCTTCAGTTTATTCAGATACGTCAGCTAGTAATAGTAATGATAATGACCTGTATTACAGTAGAATGTAATTACTCAGTAAGAGAAAAAATAAATTTTTTTTACACAGGTACACTAAGAACTAATTTTTTTCATAGTATACATAGTTAAGTTCGTGCTGGAATATGTTAGTACTGTAAGTATATGAAAAAACAGTAATGAAATATGTATGTCATTAACAGTATTTTCATTTCTGGATAAGTTTTATTATTCAGATATTTTCCATATTTACAATTGTGACAACAATTTGTTATGGTAATTATTTGAAGGATAAATTTACTGGTAGATGAAAATACCGACACTAAGTGGAAAATACTATAAATATACTCAGACAAATATATTGTTTTGTTTGTTTTAAATAGTTAACCTTTTTCTTTGAAATGTTTCTTTTTATTTCAAATTCCTTATGCTAGACTGCTTCTCGTATATAATAATTTATTACTAATAAAATAATGCTAAAGATGGATTAGCGTACCATAGAATAATAAACATAAAAGAGTTAATATAAAACGTGCAATATTTTTCTCTTTAAGTAGGTAGGTATTTAATATAATACGAACCTTAAGGTTAATGCTAGCTTCTCAATAGAACTGATGGCTTTTCGAAAATTTGTATTTTGTTTCTGGATACGCCTTTCTAATTTTCTTAAAATATAAGACAAATTACTTTCATTCATTCGAAAATATCTGTACAAACATTTTGGAGTCTTCTTGTAAACTTTTATACAAATGAAAAAACTCTTCAAATCTTTCTCTCGATCGATTGATGTCGTGTGTCCAAAATCTTCTTTTCTTGGCTAAACGTCGTTTTATTAGAGGATTCTCTAATAATAATAATAATAATAATAATAACGTTGTGTCCATCGTGACTGTTCACTGACTACTCTGGGAGTGTAATAAAAATCCGCCTTTTCAAACGCGTTCAATATGCTCAGAAATTCTTAGCGTTTGGTCTCGCATCGCTACGTATCGCAACCACTCGCTGGCTTCCTCCTGCTTTGTGCACGTACAGTTAGGTTTATAGTGGGCGCTATTTAGAGCTTCTACATTTTCCATTACGAAGTCGGCTACCACCGGGCATAAAGGGCTTCCCATTCCACCCTTCAATATGTTCGTATAATGTGTCCTTACAGGAGAAATATGTCGGAGTTAACACATACTTGAATAAGTTACTTATGTCTTCAGGAAATATTCTGAAGAAGATTGAATCGTTTGCACAATGGCCAGGCAAATCTCACACAGTTCATTCTTTATACGCAATTCTGCAACAAAGGACCCCGCACAAAATATATGGAAAATGGATCCCAGCCTACTTGACTAAAAACTGAACATGATATATTTCTAACTTTCTTGGGTTAAAGTTATTATGGGACCTAAGCAATCCTACAATTAGTTTCCGAGAAATTGCACGCGGAAGTTTGCTCGATTTGCAAAAATGGTGAATGTGCCTGTTGTAGTTCTCCCACCAAATGCTCAGAAAATTGTGATGCTGAAGAAATTATTTTATTTACAAACCGTTTAGGAACTTGTTGGGCTGTGTCATGTTGGTCTTGGCCACGGTCCTTACGAGGTTAAGCTTATTCTTATACGTTGACACTGAAATGAATCTGGCACGAGTGGTTCGAGAATTAAAAAAAAATTACTCAAGAGGACAATTCGCTTCAAAAGCGCACTAATGTGAACATATTGTACTCGTATTTATTGGCTATTAATTTGAATGTTTTGCTTTGGACTGCTTGCAGTTTATCGAACGGAGGAGGATAACGCGCTCCAAACTCATGACGAACTTACTAAAATAGCACATGAGCCTAGGGTTTTGGCGCCAGATTTACATCTGCAATAGTGCCCATTAATGTTTATTGCATAATCATCAGGTAAATCCTCGTCATTTCCATAAACTTGTCGAGATTTTGTCCGAAGTGGATAATCAGAGGATTCTTAAAAATCCTTTGTTTTTGTACCTTCTTTTATCTTACGCTAGACCGACGTTTGTCTGTTGCACCGTAGCTGACAGCTGAAGCACTAATGCAGCACAAGAACCTCCGATAAATAATAATCGCAGAATGGTATCTATTAAGAGGACCAGTGATTTTGTATATCTTTCAGATGTTGTGCATGCTGCATTTACACGGTTTTCTAGAGGAACATAAAAATCAATCCACTTTATGTGCACATTCATCGTTTTTACAAATCGGCAAACTCCCTATTTCTCGGAAACTAATCATACAATTGCCTTGATGCAAGACAACTTTTGTTCAAGATAGCGAGAAGTACATCATAATGAATTTTTAGACAAATCAACTGTGACCCATTCTCCACGTGTTTTGTGCGGGGTCCTCTGTTTGGAATTTAGTTCTTATTTTTTAAGAATTAAAGTCCTGTCTGTCACAGAAACAAATTTTAATAATTGATTTTGTTTAAATTAAGCGCATTCGGATAGAAAGACTAAAGTTTTGTTAACTCTGAACTCTCACTTGACACAATGTCAAGCATCTATTTTGAGTGCACTTTACGTTACGGTTTCAGTCAGATATTTTCTTTTCGGTTTTGAAGTTAGCTCAGTGGCCTTCTTGGCTTTTCCCGACTACTGTTGCTACGTATTGCTTATTCCAAATCCAAACTCGGTTTTCAAATGATTTGTGTTTCTAGCAGCTATTGTACAGTAAAAAGTGCAGCATGAGTATTAAATTAATTAGAATAAGTTCTAAAAAATTGCACCAAATTTGTTCATACAAAATTATGTACTAAATATTGTTTGACGCATTCCTTAATCTCGTACGAAATTCACTTTACTACGAGTAAATTCAGCACAAAATTTCGTAACGAAACAGACGGCCTTGAGTCGGACTAAAAAATCTTACCACTGGCTCCAGCTGAAACTGTCCCGAAAACTGTGCAAATGGCGGAATATTTCGTTGATAAAGTATGCCATTTCAACGTTTTCAGATATACAGTGTATCGATATGTTCAGGGGACAGTAAATCTTCTTTCCTTCAGTTTGACTGTCTGTCAATTTTATGAATCTTGGCGATGAGAATCGCCGTTTTAACGGCGCTACCATTGCCATAACAATATTTTGCAGAATTTCCTTTGGAAAACTGGTCATGGCAATCTGAAAATTATATAAACAAATGCTTAGTCTTGCCGGAGATTCACTGAAAATAATATATCACAAATGTCAAACATGTCTAGCTGATGTAGCCAGGCCATGTTAGTAATATTGTCGGGTGTTGCTGGCTACTCTGTTGTAGCGAGATCATGCAGTGAAAATATTGCCCATTTAGAAGCATAATAATGACGACAGATTTTTTAAGCTAGTTGTCGAAACGAATTCAGACTAGACAGAAGGAGCAATTATACGATTTGTTTGTCGGCAAAATTGTGTAGTCAGAATGCAAGTTCAAACTACAAGCCCAAACAACTAAATATTCGGACATTTTTAAATTTTGTGCAAATTGTTCTATAAAATAACACAACAAGATAGTAAGCTTGTACCGAAAACTTTTATTGGTAGTTAATTATACAAAATGTGACCTATTTTCGATAATAATATTTGTTTTTATTGATAAGTAATTTAAATTAACAAAAAAAAAGACTAAACTTCTCAAAAATATGTGGCAACTAAATATTCGGACACTACAAAATGTAACTTAACTAATAACTTGATACGTCGCCTTTTGCCTTAATTACCGCCTAAATTCTTGCAGGCATGGTCTTAACTAATGCTTGACAGTTTTCTTGTGTAAATGAATTCCAAATTTCTTGCAATTTCACACGCAGTTTAGGGATTGTTCTCTGATGATGGTTTTTCAAATGTTGTTTCATTTTGTGCCAGACCGTTTCTATCACATTTAAATCGGGAATACTGGCTGGCCAAGAGAGGACATGTACGTCATGATCCCCAAACCATTGTTTTGTGCTTTTGGCAGTGTGGCATGATGAGCCGTCCAGCTGATAAATGCAATCTCCGTCAGGATATAAGTCTGCTATGGTAGGCAATAATGTGTTCTCAAGGATTTCTTGATATTTAGCTGCATTTACTGTGCCATCTGTAGATTGAAGACGTCCCATTCCAACTGCAGACATACAGCCCCACAGCATAATACCTTTGGGAAATTTCACTATACGTTTAATGCAGTCTTTGTGGAAGGTTTCAGGTTCTGATGACCCTTTTCCGATGATCGCCTACGCATACGTCAAATTTAGCTTCGTCACTAAATATGATCTTCTCATACGTCCAAGAGCGCTTTGATTATGCCCAAATTAGGCGCCTTTGTTTTTGGATTCCAGTTAGAAGCGGTTTTTATTTAGCCTAATTAATGAAAAATCATTTTAAAATTATTTTGGAATGATAATTTTTTATTGAATACCTTATAAAATTTGAGTCCAGATTTATGAATGTATTTTCGACAGCATTCTCGTGAAACCTGCATTCCACACTTTGTGTTCCAGTGAGCGGTAACAGTCATAATCCTCGGTCGACCTGGATGTTTACCGCGCACATCAGTACTGGCAGTTTCGCCATACTTTTTTATAATGTCCGAAACTGTAGACTTAGGGATAACAAGATCACTTGATATTTTGCGTATTGACTTGCCTTTGCAAAACTGCTGAATAATAATTTGCCTCATTTTCTGGTTAGTGGCTACACCTCGCACCATTTTTGCATGAATATAAGTTACCTACAAGAAAATACAATTACTTACTAAATACAACTTCTAACGACGTTGACATAAATGGTATTTTGACATTGGTATCGCCCTAAATTGTTCTTACTTAGCCTGCTAGTCTCTGCTTATCTCTAATGTTATGCTTCTTGACCTGTCCGAACATTTAGTTGTCACCATATTTCACGATATTTTAGTGATTTTGTTTGTCTTAAAGTAACAAATTTGAAATCAGAGGCGCCGCTATTAAAAATATCTGTTTATTATGCTTATCTATCAATATAAATTGATTGCCAAACATTTTTAGAAGGCGGCAGTTAATTTATGGGTCCACTTGTACAAAAATTAAAGGTGTGCGAATATTTAGTTGTTTGGGCTCGTAGAATTCGATCAGGCTTAAGGCGCCACTAAGACAGTTGCTGAAATTTCACATTAAATCCGTTCTTTATGCAGACAAAAGTGCTTGGGTTCTGTACAACCCAGGTTGCCGAAAAAGAATGGAGGTTTTTGTGGATTGCAATTAGTAGTTTAAACTGAATAAAAGCAAATCTTTTTATGGACAAGTATTACATATTAAAGTCATCGGCGTTGCCAGAGGGTATGTACCTCAACCTAGAGTTTTTGCCTGGAAAGTTGAGGGGTAATTTTTTTTATTTCATTTCACTCCTTGCTTCGTTGAGTTTGTTAACAGAACTACATACCTAACAATGTCATTGAAAAATGCAAAATATTGGAGCCAAACCAAATCTTTTGATGTATACTGAAAAGGGCCAACCAAAACTCAAATCCATTTAACCTAAGTAAGTGTCAGCATCACTAAAAATGTCAGTGATATTGGTTTGTAAGAGTGACTCTCGTAACGTCAATAATTGGGATATCTCTTGATTCCCTCTCATTAAACATACTTTCCACCTCGAAACATATCTAGGAATGTTCGCTTATTTTTAGAGTATGTAAAGCCTTAATACTCAAATTTTGGTGATTGGTTATTATTAAATCTATCTTAGTTTGTGAAAAGTTTGTAATCCTTGTGTAATCATTAAATTTTTGAATAGACCATGAAAGTTCAGCACCTGTTTAAATTTTTTTACATAAAAATCTTGATTATCAAAACTTATATTGAAGTCTCCCAAGTGCACAGTGAAACAATTTCGATAATACTGTTTTTCACAAACACTCTCAAAAAAGTAAAAAAATCGGATAATATTACAGCTTGGAGACCTGTAGTAAACGTGTACAATGTAATTTCGTTTCATCTTGATTTCAAAATTAATATACCACCATTAATAATCAACAACTACAGTATTATGTGTTTTTACTTCAACCATACTCAGCTTGTATAATAGTATGCCACCTGAATGTTTTGGAAGTGTGTTTACTCTCACAACATCATACTTATAAATATCAATCTCCATATATTCAATATTCTGCTCTTCAGCCATGCAAAGAACTTTTGCACTGATATTAAAAAATGTATAACTTCATCCCTGTGCGATAAAAATCCGTGAATATTTATATGATATACAAAGTTAGTATATGTTTTGGTCTGTAATTGCTATTTGTCACCACAAGAAAATTTAATTTTTGATTTTTCATATTTGATTTGGACCATGTTGCAGGTATAGTGGAAGGATGCGTGATTTATAATGAAATTTATATTGTACTTCAAATTTGATTCTCTGCAATTTGGACATGTTATTTCATCTTTTGATATCGCACAGTTCTGGTCCTGATGATCACGATTACATATAACATTTCAAACAAATACTGGTCTTGGTGCAATTTTTCGCTGTATGGTGAAATCCGCCATAGTTAAAACACCTCAGAAGATCGTAATGCTCAAAAATTGTACAAACATCCATGGATACAAACAAAACTCCTGCTGGCTACTCTGTTGTAGCTAGATCATGGAAAAAATATTGCCCGTCTAAGCTATTTATCGAAACGAATTTGGACTAGGCAGAAGAAGCAAGTATATGATTTGTTTGTCGACAAAATTGTGTAGCCAGAATGCAAGCTCATACTAGAATTCGATCAGGCTTAAGTCGCCATTTAGACAGTTGTTGACATTTCACATTAAATTCGTTCTTTATACATACAACAATGGGAGGGTTCTATACAACCCAGGTTGCCTAAAATGGTGGAGGTTTCTGTGGATTGGAATTAATAGTTTGAACTGTATAAGAGCAAATTTTTATGGACATGTACTCGTATTACATATTATAGTCATAGGCGTTGCGAGAGGACATGTACTTCAACCTTGGGTTTTTGCCTGGACAATTCATTTTACTTGATTAATTAATAGCAAATATCACTGATTTTATACACATGCAGACCAATACACATAATCACCCAGATGCGATCTTGCTATTCAACCAACTTTCTTCTCAGAGATAAAAACTACAGACAAGGACCATTTGGCCTCACAAAACTATGCAACCAATAATGCATGTAGCTTAGTTCAGTGATTCCTCCATAGATGGACGTTCACAACGATCCTAGTGAGCAAACGTGGAATGACTGCGTCCTAAAAACTACCTAGTCTGCAAGATGATCTTATAGGTTTTTTTGACGTTTTATAGGTTTTTTACATAATACCCGTGCGGGTTCCTTTTTCTTTATCCAATACTGATTTCAACTGAGACATTTAATATCTTGACTTCTATACCTTAGAATGAATGGCTGCCACAATTTCCGCAAAAGAATTATCGTATGTCTTCGGCAAGTTAATTTTCTTCGATAATTCCTCCTGTAACTTCCTAATTTGTTCCCTGTCTTTATGCGCCGGTTTGTCTTTCGTAAAGAGAGGACAATATTCCATGATTCTTCCATTACCGCAAGCTATTACTCCGGGACCGTGCTTTCTATTGTTTTTCCATGTTCCTGCCAGTTTTGAACCACACTCAGTGCCGAAATATAGCAAACCTACCGGAACAAATATTTTCCGGGTTAGCACTCACAATGCCTGCATGTAAAGGGAAGTCAGGAGTAAAGCTGTTGATGAAATGTATCACATAGAAAAGGACGGAGACCATGGCATAGCCAGACCTGATCCCTAGGAACACCAACGATGACATTGTGGGTTGAAGAGGAAAACCCTCAGTGACGATGGTTATCGTAAGACAAAAACACATTACGTGAACAAGATATAGTCTAAAAGAATCAGGAGTGACTGAGGTGTCAGTAACAGATATGATGGGTGTTCAAAAAGTTCGGATAGGGCAAATAAGGTCGAAAACGAAGCGCATACAAGGAATACTACCTAGGCGTGTGAGTAGGATTTTCCCAGGCCATCTGGTGGTGACCTTGATCTTCGAGGTCATTTCAAGGTCAATCCCATTTTTCAAGTGATACTCTATATTTTGTCACCGGAAACGTATTGAGCAGAAAATTTTACGGTAGAATAAGTTGTAGTCTCAAAAAGATTGGCCTGGTTATGATTAAGATCAAATATCTATTTGATCTTGACATTATTGATCGTCAATGCAATCTCAAGAACGAGTCGTTTTTTTAAATGAGATACTATATTTTTGACATGTGATGTCATGAAGAAGATCACCTTTGTGGTTGAAACCTTTACAGTACATAAGATTCTGTCTTTTACGTCAAGTCTCTTTGGGACTCCGATCGTAAAATTTTCCGCTTTATCAATTTCCGAAGTTAATATTTGGTAAATCATAAAAAAATCGACTTGTCCTTGAAATGGCTTTGATGGTAAGGTGAAAACCAAATTCAAGGTCAGCAACGGACATACAGTGTAACGCTTCCTTTCCGCAAAAAGTCCAGAAAAGATGGAATGCAATGAAGATTCCAACTTTTCTGCACAATCACAGAAAGGGGGTTACCATTAGCTTCCGGTAGCTCAGTCGGTAGCATGAAAACATCTACAGGCGTGTAGCTGTGTGTCGACCATGGCATGGCTAGAGGATAGAAGAACAAACAGAACACAAAAATTTAACAGATTTTATTTAACAAAAAAGCATTTTCATTACATTACAATTTTAAAGTTTTAAAGAACAAAATAAGTTTTAAATCTTTGGCGCTGCTATAAAACTATCAACTTATCTTTCGCTGGTCCATTTTGACTGGACTGAAGCGAGGATGGCCAGGTGCTTGAAGTGGAGGTCCCAGTCATGAGGGGTGACCTCACATTTAGTGGCTTCAAAACCAGTTGTAGGCGAAGTTAAACCTGAAGGTGATGGCGCCGCCAAGGCACATGCATGGGTGAAGTGATAGGCCAAGCAATGCAAAGTCAAAGACAAAGGCAAAAGCAAAGCCAAAAGTCAAAGACAAAGGCAAAGGGAAAGAGAAAGGGGGTGGCCCCAATCATTTTGTCCTATTTAGACACACATTCTACAAACCGCTAGTACATGGTGCTATATGACCTCATGCTACAGAGAACAAAATTCTTAGCTCTTGTTCGATCGACGGCTCAAGTCAAAAGGAAGCGCGAGGAAGATCGCAGATCAGGAACTCCGCATCAAGCGCCCTCCAAGCGGAAATTTTTAAAGTAAAAAAGCTAGAGATGGGATTAATGAAATGATAATCGAGAAGTGATTTAATAAATACGATCGGACGGTGAAACCGTTACAACAGGAAAAATCATAAGCCTGTACTTGGGCAGAATTTCTTTCACCAAGACTACCTTAGCGATTAGGTATTATTATTCTATTATACATATGACCTTGACCATGACCTTTACAGGTCAAATTTTTCAAAGACCAAGTACTGATACAAGATCATGCCTGGATAGAATTTCTTGTACACTCATGCTTTTCGACAATGTTCACCGTATCCGGAATTTTTGAGCGCACTAAATATTTATAAATACAATACCATTTTTTAGGTAAGGGGATCTTCGTAGGTAAGTCTACATTACAGCTCGTGTGTTTATCGTTAAGAAACTTTGGAAAATATAACAATTTTATGTACCTACACCATGTCTTGTTCCCATGAACCAACTGCCTCTGTATATGTTGTAGATTGGAAAAGTCAGTGTTTTATTTAGAAACATGTTCCAAGTGTATTCTCCGTATCCATGTGGCTTGTCATATTGCCACTCTCCTGTGTAATACTGGAATTATTGCATTACTTTTGAATTATTGTTATAATGAACACTGTCAAGAAACTAGGTAATAACCATGTTAATAAATACGAGGGTTGATAAAGAAAGAATTTTTGATCACGCCAAGTGCGAGATTCGTTCCATAACTCGCTTTTTGCATGCCATACGTGGATATTCATAGTCAGTTCACAGAGGTGTATGGCGACAACTGTATGTCCGTTCACTATATCAGAACGTGATGCAGGGACTTTAGTGCCTGTTGGATGGAAGTCCACGATGAAGAACGGAGTGGACGACTATCAGCTTCGAAGGCGGTTATCGAGATGGTCCAATGCGAAGTGCTTCAAAACAGGAGGATCACCATCCGTTGACTTGTTCCTCAGGTTCTTGGGACTTCGCTTTGCTTCGCATTGGACCTTCTCGATAACCACCTGGGTAGCTGTCCACTCCATTCTTCATCATTCCTTTGTGAACTGACGACGGATATCCATGGGTGGAGTCCTTTTGGAGTGCAGGAAGCGAATTATGGATCTAACTTCGCACTTGGGAACCGCTATATTGGACGGCTGCTGAGTCAAGGATGAGCAGTTTGTCGAAGTGCGGCTGGGGGAATCGAGAGTTGGACAACAGTCGCGCGCAGTGTTGTTGCTGCAGTACGCCTTGCAACTTCCAGTGTGATTGGAGCTGTTGGAACCTTATTTCAGGATCAACACTCGTAACCAGTGGCGTAGCTACCTTGGATGGCACCCGGTGCGGAAGTTGATGGTGTCACACCATCGAATGTCAAAATCAATAAATTTTATATGATTTATAAACGTCATGGACCTTTTAATATTTATACAGAAAAAAATATGTTTATCTCACAATTGAAATCTCTTCTTTATAGCTTTGACAGCTGCAGAATCAGAAATAACTTCATCAAAATTTATATTTTGGATTACCTCGTGTTCGATGGCTAATATACCAAGATTGCCAAGTCGCGATTGGGTCATAGTTGCCCGCAAATAATTTTTAACTAATTTTAGTTTACTGAAACTCCTTTCATATGAAACTACAGACACGCAAACCGTGCTTAACAATTTTAGTGCAATCATAAGATGTAAGAGATTCTGTAAAATCTCTTTCTACAATAAACTTAAAAAAATCTAGAGATAGCCGATCAGAAACTGGAACATTAGCGGCTTTTAAATGTCTTCGCAGTCTTGGTATCTCCAAAACTAATTCTTTTTCTCAGACCTCATCATAAAAATCAGTAAATGTGGATGTAACTAATTTCAGTTCTTCAGTATTGGCCAAAACCAAAGTATTTGTTTGTACGATCTCAAACAATGGTCTTGAAGAGACTTTGATCTTGTTCAACTCCGAAAAAGTTGAGTCACCGGGTGAGTGACACCCGGTGCGGACCGCCCCCGCTGCCCCCTTTCTACTTACTGCTCGTAACTACGACAAAGTAAAAGACTACACATAGACTTACATCATTATTTTCAAAGATCATGCTACCCTTCCCGTGTTTAGCATTTTCTTGCCATTGGCCCTTATAGCGAGCTCCATTTTTGTATTTTCTGTATCCTACCCCATGCATGTTATCCTTAAGCCAATCGCCTACGTAGTTGGCGTTCATTTCATATTCTATCCATCCTTTTCCTGCAATGTAAGCGCATAAACTGGCGTCAAGTAGGTTGACTCATGCACATTCCATGCAACGATGTCATAAAAGATTATATTACACCTGTCACATATTGGCTTTTCTTATAACAAAGTAACTACATAGATCAGGTCAGCCTAATAAGCCCATACAATTAGTCCCCGGTGCCCACCCATTTGGTAACGTCGCCCTACCGACCACCCAACGAGTGGCTAGCTTGCGGCAGGTTTTTACCTATTTTATTTGCGCTTGACGAGGTAATTGAATTTATTTCTATCAAACTAAGTCTTACGGGCAAATATACGAAGAAATCTATATGTAAAAAGTCTGATTATATTAGTGAAAAAAAATTGAGACACTCTCTGCAACCCCCATGCCAATTTTTGTATCCCTCGAAAAAATTTTAAAAAAGTGAAGTTTGAGCAAGATCTATATGTTTACTTTTTTCTTTAGCTTTGCCTCCACAGGATATTATTATGATATTATTTCTAAAATATGAGATTTTTAAATCTATTTCCGAAGTTACTCTAGACAGCAAACCCTTCTAAGTGCTATTTCTTTAGCTAGCTAACTGCGCAACTGCACGTCCATTTAATCGACCTCGTACCTCTTACAGTCGCGGACATCCCCATGGTACGATTTGAGTTTGAAATATCCGGTATATAAATGTTAAAACTAAGATCGGGCTAATTTATTCAGACCAAAGGTTAAATTTGCTAGAGAAAAATGTTGAAAAATTGTTATTAATGTCATATAACATCAGACTGTTCAATTATGTCTATTAGATTACGTTCTAATGGCCTGCTGGACCAACATTGAATTTGAGTCTTGTAAGCCTACAGATAACTAAGGACGAAGATATATTTAAGATGGTAGATAACTTACAAATTATTGAGGATTCTCAGTTTAGGCTTAATTTCAGGCAGAATATTCAAAACTGTACAAACTGAATTTCTTAAAAAGTGTTGTAGTTTCTAATCTCTTGGAAATAGTTTTTGTTTTTGGTATTAAAATAATTTAGAAAACCATTATTTATTAGTTCACGAATACACAAATCTCCGTCTAAAATATCATCATGACCAGTAAAATCCATTTTTGAATCCTAAAAATGTATTAGACGGTATATAACTTTCAAAAGTTGAATGCTTAAGTTAAACACAGTCCAAAAAATTTTATACGTTGTTTAAGTACTTGTACAATAGAAATCTTCAAATTAAACTAGGTTTCCGTCTAAACTAAGTTTAGATAGTATTTGTCGCGTCATTCTTGTTTCATTGTCTGCTTTTTTACAAAATGTTGGAAACAAAAAGACATTATTTATTTTTTATTTTAGTTTTCTTCACCCAAGCCTTAATAATATTTGATAAAGACATTATTACATATTACATAGAATTTGTTTTTACTTGGGGATACACACTATCTTACCTACCAACCTCCCATTATCATACTCCTCAGCTGGAAGTTTCGGTTGCGGTGTCGACCAAAACCAGAATTGGACCGAAATTTTGGTTTCGGTCGGACACTATTAGGAGTTGTATAGAAATTAGGTAAGCGATCCAAATCGTGGACGCTTCGCCGCCATATTTCAAAATGGCCACCAAGTTGTAAAATGGTTAATCAACATAGTAGCCAATGGGCCCATTTTAACTTGTTATAGCTCATTTTGCTCCTTTTCAAGAGCAAACATTCTAAAATTACACTTTTTGTGAATGATTCAGTAGTTATTCAGAAAAATCAAGGCTTTCAATTTTTATCAATTTGTGCAGTTATTCAAATAATACTACTTTTAATAAGAAAAAGATCCGTTTTCGGTAGTGTGAAAACCAAACACAAGTAGTCAAAAGCATTGTATTCACAAATACTAGAAACAGTATTTGCTAGTCTTACCACATAACTGAAAATGCAAATTTCTCGAAATCGAGGACCCTCCACTAAGGTATGGTAATATATAGCGTGTTCCTTAATGATATGCGAATATTTAAGGGTGTGAATCTACATGAAAAATTAATGTTAGTTTACTCTATAAACTTTGGTCCAAAAATGTTTCTTTACAAAAACTCGGGGTGTTGAAATTTTAGGAAAAAAGTGGAAATTAATTAATATTTTCAGAACCGCTTCAGATATTTCACTGATATTTAGTACGTAGTGAAAGTTGACAAAGCTACATATTTTTCAATGCAAAAATAATTTTTAGCTTCAACAGTGGCGTGCGTACGGGTATCGACTTCGATTTTTCTAAAAAAAAAAATGGTACGCCATTTATGAATTCCCCGTTCCTATTAAAACAAATGATCTCTCTTGAATTGTTTTCCTTCGATGCGCCATTTTTGAGTAAAAAAATAAAAACCGTTCTATTGTCCGAGAAAATTGATGTAATAATTGAAGAATGCAATTTAGCAATAAATATCTAGTTGCTCTGGAATATGTCACTGGCTTTTGACATCTGACAATTCTCTGTTATTCAAATCTGTTCGCTGTGACATCTTTTTCATTATTTAGTTTTTATAATCTTGTTAATAATGGTCAATTATTCAAATGCAGCCAGACGGATTTATCATCAGAGTTATACCGATCGTGCTTTGCCAGATAGTCGATCCTTTTCTAATATTCATCGTCGTATTGTTGAAACTGGTTCTCTCCGAAAAGGAACATCTAAAGGTAGACCTCTAAGTGTGAGAATACCCGAAATTGAGGAAGCAGTGCTGTACGAAGTCGAAGAACATCCTGAAGCGAGCACGAGGCAGATCGCTATACACTTAAATATTTGCCACCAAATTGTTTGGAGAATCTTAGTGGATTTTTTGTTATATCCTTACCATATTTTAAGAATACAGGCATTACTTCCCATTGTTTTTTCAAGGCGTGTGACCTTTTGTCAGTGGTATCTTCAAAAAATTACACAAAATCCGCAATTTAAATCAATGATTCTGTTCACGGACGAAGATAATTTTTCTCGAAATGCCATTCAGAATTTCTACAATAATCATTTGTGGGTAGAAGAAAATCCACATGACGTAACCGAAACAAATTTCCAATACCAATTTTCGGTTAACGTATGGACAGAAATTATTGGCAACCACTTTATTGGCCCATTCTTCTTGCCGGGACGACTTGACGGACAGACTCACCTCAATTTTCTTCAACAACAGTTGCCTTTGCTGCTTGATGATGTTCCGTTAGTAATAAGAAACAATATTTGGTACATGTATGATGCTGCACCAGCGCATTTCAGTGTAGCGGTTCGTAATTATTTACAAACTGTTTATCCAAATCGTTGGATTGGCCGCGGTGGGCCCCAAGAATGGCCACCAACGTCCCCAGACAACAACAGTTTAGATTTCTTTTTGTGGGGTTATCCTAAGACACTAGTACACAAGTCCCATTAACACTGTAGAGGAGTTAAGAGAAAGAATAATTGCAGCTTGTGATAGAATAAAAAACATTCCAGGGTTATTTCAACGAGTGCGCAATTTCATGATAAGCAGGGCGGAAGCATGCATACTAAGTGAAGGGGGCCATTTTCAACAATTTTTGTAATCATTTCGTTGGTTTTCATGTTATGTTTATGTTGCCAGTTGTTGTTGTTCACTACCCCTAATGTGTTTAATTTTTCCAATTAAATTAATAATCATTCGGCAACTTAGACAATAGAACGGTTTTTATTTTTTTACTCAAAAATGGCGCATCGAAGAAAAACAATTCAAGAACGATCATTTGTTTTAAATTGAACGGGGAATTCAAAAATAATTTTTATTTCGCAAACAACCATTGCCGTACCATTTTTTTCTAAAAAAATATCGTAGTCAATACCCGTACGCACGCCACTGTTGAAGCTAAAAATTATTTTTGCATTGAAAAATATGCAGCTTTATCAACTTTCAGTACGTACTAAGTATCAGTGAAGTGTCTGAAGCGGTTCTGAAAATATTAATTAATTTCCATTTTCTTCCTAAAATTTCAACACCCCGAGTTTTTGTAAAGAAATATTTTTGGACCATAGTTTATAGAGCAAACTAACATTAATTTTTCATGTAGATTCACACCCTTATATTAAGGAACACCCTGTATAAAGCCCGAGGTCACACGATACAAATCATAGTTCTTGCTTCGCCATATTTAAAAATGGTCGCCAAGTTGTACAACAGTTGTTCGACACATCGTAGCCAGTGGGCCGATTTTAATTCTGTTCGGCTTGTTTTATTCCTTTCTTAAAAACAAACATGCCTTATGGTTGACCCAATGATTATTGAGATATGGCAGGGTCATCAATTCTTACCATTTGCGAAGGAATTTAAATAACACCGCATGTAAAATAATTCATTTTTGGTAAAGCTAAAGCCAATTTTGAATAGTAAAAAGTATTGTAAGTAATCGTATTAAACATTCCAAATATTCCAAGATGTGTACGCTGCCTATGAGACTATGTGTTAACAGTATGGTTACGAATACACCAATATGTGCTTTGGATTATTCTCTGTAAATTGATACATACAGAAGTATTTAAAAAAATGATCACGTGATGGGAAACGATGTTATAATGCAGCCATATTAAGAAATGGCGCCCAATTCGCAATACATTTGTCCAAGCGTATAACTCAATAATTACTGGATCATACCAAAAATGTACAATCATTAAATATATGTACCTTCAAAAAAAGTGTAAAAGTAGTATCAAAAATCGGATTAGTGGTTACGAAGGCATGTTGGATAACCCATCTACAGTTTGGTGGGCATTTTTGAATATGGTGGTCAAGCGATTATGATTTTGATCGCGTGACCTGATTTTTTATATATGCCAGTAGTTAAAGCTTCAAATTAAGTGCACATGTGAATTCGCACGTGACTTTAGTGGCTAGTTCTACACTTAGAGAGATTTGGAATGTTACTATATGTCAATTGTATGGTTAGATTGACGGAAAATGTCTTCTGTATTTGTAAAAATCAAGCGTTCAAAATTGGTTTCTACTCTACAAAAAGTGGACCATTTCCCCATTCAAATAACTGCACAAATTGATAAACATAACTACTGGATTACTAAAAAAATATGTTATCATAAAATATTTATATTGCTAGAAATTCCTTTAAAAAAGTCGGCCGATTGGTTACGAGGACATGTTGAATAACCGTTTTACTCACTAGTGGGGTTTTTGAGATATGACGGCCAAACGACCACGATTTGAATTGCGTGACCTATTTTTTACATTCTCCTATAATGTCCCGCATTCAAACTGAGAGGATAAGTATATAGGGTGTCCAAGATAAATATCCTCTGGGATACACACCTTAGGTTGAATTAAGAAAAATCTGGGCCCTCTCGAGGCGTATTCACATGGCATTGAGAAACATAAATAAGATAAAAAAATTAAAAAACACATTTTTCTTCATAATTGAGAAAAAATGAGATACATCGTAGGATTCGTTGAATAAATGCTATTAGCTACCTTTTTTGGACCATATAAAATATAAAGTTGATGACGGCATCTCAAAAACAAACCGTAGGGCACATAATTTAAAAACAATGGAGACGTTTCATTAGTCTCTTAAAATGAAGTCAGAAAAAAATAAAGATGATTTGGCCAAGTTTTAGTTTTTCCCAAATATCTCAGTAAGCCATGAGATGTTTGCAAATTTCTCAACGGCATGTAAATACGCCCCAAAGAATGCGACGTTTGCCTAATTTAACCTAAGCTGTATCTCCCAAAGGTATTGAGATCTCCATGCACAGGATCCTTATCTTGAACACCATGTTCACGTTTCTTTAGTGGCTACCCCTAAGCTACTAGTGAAAAAGCCTTTTACGGCAGATTCACATAGCAATAAAGTAGCAGCCATACCATCCATTTAGGGTTGAAGTAAGCAGCAGAACCCTGGCAGGTACACCTGGTAGGCCTGAAACTTGTTGGCACCATTACTTACCGTGCCGTTTACCGCTCTTCCAGGATCCTTTATAAAACGTCAAGGAATTTGATAAATTCAAAACTCCGAAACCATGATAGTAGCCTTGGCAGACCTCGCCATCGTACCTGTTCAAGTCCGGCATGATCATTTTTCCCTTTCCAGAAGGGTAACCATTCTTGAATTGACCCTAAAAATGGGCAAATATGTCAAAAGATCCATATATTAGATGGAGCAGATTTTTTCCTGGTACAAACCTTACCATTCGAGGTCTGTTCAAAAATTCTTTTTCAAATTGGTATTTTTCTATTCACACATAATTAGTTCTTGTCTGTATCATTTTTATTTTTGGCATAAAATTGGTGAACCCAGAAGTCTGCTTGAGATGGCGTCGTGTTTTTTATAATTGAGCCACAACGCAGGCTTATGGTCTAGATACCTGTGGGAACCGTGGGGCTATAGCGGGATACAGGGCCCGCCATAGAGATCCTCCGGATGGTACTTTCATACTTGACGGTCTGATACAGTTTATCACCTAGATTCCTAGAACTCATAGCCAACAGGAAAATTGTGTCAGGGCGGGATTTGAACCCCCGCAGCGGCGACTGATTAGTAAGCCCATGACATCTACCACTATGCCATTACTTTATTTTTTGAACACTCCTTGTACTTGATTCTGATTGTTGTTAGAAACGTCAATATGAAATTCAGGTTTGCACGAGAGGAACAGTGTTTATTTTATCAGTAGCGCCCATCAGGTTTTGATGGCTGGCCGCGAATCGAATTAACAAAGCTCCTTCAAGTTTCTCATACCAGACGCGGAGCCACGGCATTCAGGCTTCTACCGACGCGATGTACAGTCGGTAGATATTTGGAAAATTTTTGGTCAATTTATATTACATTGAACCATAAAGCAAAAACTTGCCTGTGATTGAAAATTGAAAAGGAGAGCACCTTATTTGAGCTTCTTTCGTTTTGCAAATTGAAGAGCGGAAGGGGTGGGCGAGGGGCTAACAGCATCAATTGCTAAAATGCAGCTATTTTAAGAATTGAAGAGTGCAGGGTAGCATCACATGCTGAAATGCCACTATCTAAAAATTTGAAAAGCGCACACTATGTAATTTCTTTATATTTTATCAAAATATATTATTTAAGAATTTGAGAAAATTTTCGGGAGATTTAGCATTGAAGTCGGTGGATTCACCGCAGGAACGATAGCCATGGTAAAATTGATCAGTTATCAGCATGTACCTTATAGACTGTACCATCCGTCCAACGAAATATTCCTACACCATTCATGATACCTCTGAAAGTATCTCCCTCATACGTGTTGCCATTATTAAAAATGATCTTTCCACTACTTGGCTCGTGTGCTACTATCCAGCTCAAGCTACTAATCTGTAACATAGTCCAGGATGTATTTTCGCTTTTTAAAAAATTATTTTTTCTTTTTCGGGTTTTTGGGTCATTTTGAATAAAACAGTTCTTCTTCTCTAGAATTTAAAGTTTTCGAGGTACAGGCTATTCAATATCTCGAAAAGTATGAAATATGCCACTTTCGATCCGGTGCTAGGCAAGTGAAAAACTAAAATAAACATTGATGAAAGTGCTTACGGTACATTCGATACGAAATTTTCCAGTACGGCGCTGTCACGCGGCGCGGGGTGGAAACGTCCAGGAAAACGACCCAAAAAAAGGGGTTAACCCTTAGCAACACGTTGAAGACACTTACGGTAAATAAACATTATGTCGGCAAGATAATATAATTATTGCTACGATGGTTGATAAAAAGATGGTTTTCAGAGAACTGTAGCCACACTGGAAGATGCGAGGCGAAATCTGGCAACACCGCTTAGCGTGGCTGCTGCCCCTCTCTCAATGCCACCGGCTGCGCTTTCGTGCAAGTGATAACATGTTCTGGGGGATTTTTTTGAGGGAAAAATAAAATTGTTGGGTGTTTTTCCATCTGTAACTACAAAAAACTGTCTACTGCTAAACAACAATTTTATCTATCTGTAGCCTTTTCTTTCCCCATGTTGCACCCATCTCCACAAAACATCTACGCTCGCCCATCTCTACAAATTTATGTCAATTGTAGGGTGGTACACATCCAGCCATAGATATAGCACACAGAAACATGGAAAAAGCTGTGAGTTTTTCGGTTGATTTAGCTATCTTTGTCTCACCCGTGTGTTTCGGGAGAAAGAACTATGCAATTACTCTTCTTCGTGATTTTGCACGGATTTGCACGTCTTTTAGAGCCACCGATTTGCGATTTGCCAATCCCCAAATGGCGAAGTGACAGCGAATGCGTGTATCCTCCTACGTTCATGCGCAAAAGTAGCACACACACAACAAAAAGTTGTTCCAATAAGCTTGAAAAACAGTTTCAATTCGTTGGAATTATTTTTTATTTTATATTTTCTCTCGGGACATTCATACGACTCAACTAGTCCAACCTCTAAATAGGTCCATACAATTCTTACGCGGTTATACGATCACCTGACAGACTGACAGAAATTAGTAACATGGTTTTTCGTGATGTTCATGTCATATAGCCTCCAAAAAACATACCTCACTTTTGAAAATTTTTGCGATTACAATCCTTCCCTGCCAGTAGACGTGGGAAGAAAAATGAGAACCTCTATATTGGACAGCTGCTGAGCCAATAATGAGCGGCGCAGGGGAATCCAGAGTGGGGTAGCGCGCAGTTGTGTTGCCGGATTTCGTCTCGCACCTTCCAGTGTGGCTTGAGGTCTTCAAGAACATATTTCTGGATCAACCTTCGCATAAAGGTAGAACATTTTAACTCGAATCTGATTTAAAAACAAACAGCCTGGTTTACCTACACGATAGGTTGGATGTGACGTGCATCGTACCTTTTCATATAATCATTCACTGGAGGAAGGGTCGCATTTGATACCGAAAATTTTATCGCAATATCTCGATAATCTCAAGACTTCAGTACGTGTTAGAAGGAAAATTATAACTATTCGTATACGCGATGTAAAGGAAAGCTCAATGGAAGATGGCCCATATGCCCGCAGGTTGTATTTTCATTTATATAAACGAATTAAACGATTTGATCACAAGCGGAGCTTACAGTGAAGGTCAGTTCAAGGCCAGCTTTAGGTGAAATTTGTAAGTATTGTCATGTATCTGACACTTAACTGTTAGGCTCGCGAGTCCGAATTTGAGTGTGTGTCGTATCAGGTTATTTGAAGGGCATTCGAGGTCTTTTCAGGGTCACATTGATAAAATGCCGGGAAATGAAGTCTACCAGATCTAACGTCAGATTCAGACTGAGCGACCCCATAAACCTTCTAAAAGATCTACTAGACTTGACTTTTCGTGACTTTCTCAATTTGACCTTGAAATAACTTCATCCACTTCAAATGACCCGATACTTGAAAACTGGCCTCAAATTCGGAATCAGCAACCCCAAAAACCTACGTACAGGTTTGGTAAACTCGATTTTCTGATATTTTCTCAATTTCATCTTGAAATGACCCCGAAACGCCCCTCAAATGACCTTTTACGAACAAACTCCCCTTAAATATAAGCATGACAGTTTAGTACTAAATACGTGATTAGTTATTCGTGAACTTCTGAATTTCACTTAAAAATGACATTCATCCTCACCAGGAGGAGGCTCCTGTAAGTGCCGTAAAACTGTATTGGGCCCAAAACCGGTATCATGGGCCCAGGTCCTTTGACCTTGTATACATGTTAGGGTAAGAAATAAGTGATGCCCACACTACCACAATAAAAAGTAATTCTGTAAAACTTACTATTTCTTCACTTTCAATCACTGATCTCTCTGATATTTCTGGTCTAATAGATTCACGGAATTCTGAAAGATGGAACAAACTGTGGTATGAGATTATATTACATATGTACTACGGTTGGGACGTATGCCATTATGGATTGAATTGATTGATTGAAGTACCAGAATTGGTGGCATCTAACGACCACAGTGGTGATCCGTCTGTCAAATGTGAACCGTTCTGGTAAGAGAGGGCGCTTTGTGGCGCCTTATTTCGTGATTTTTTGCAACTCATCAGCATTATCTGGACTTGGTCTCAGGGACAACGAAAGCATAGCAACGATCCTATGTTCAAGGTATGAGATGTATCTATGTCACTTTACAATGAAAATGTCTAAATCTAGTCCACGCGGATGAGGTGCTAAACAGCACGAAACAGCTGTTCATGTTTGACCGTTGTGGTAGGCCGGACAGGAGCTATATTACATTTGGTTAAAAGGGTAGTTATATCTCGAACCGAGCTAGGGATGTACATTTATCACATTTACCTTGTATATCTGGGACGTAATCTGGTACATCTTCAACAAGTATCACACAAGAATTCTGTTCAAATGGAAACAAGTCGCTTTCACTTTCTTCAATAGAAGGTCTAGCGGTGCCTCTTTCTTGAATGATGGTCTCTAGCATGTTATCAAAAAATAGGAACATTAGTTCCTCCTTGTAGTTTATTTTTGGTCTTTCTTTGTGCATGTGAGCTTCTTCTTCCTGAATGCTTTGAAAGTATTTTCAAATGACTAGAAGCATGGGCGCCCGCAGTAAATTTTCTCAAGGGGCCGATCATCCGCAAAAGATTACTTTTTGCAAGATTGTACCTGCCCCCAGAACTGTTTGAAGAACGGGGGTAGGCACTTTTCTCAGGGGGGGGGTAGTGGTTTAGCAAAAACAACCAAAATATTACCAAAATTTTACACAATATCATGCTAAACCTCCCTCTTCGGGCGCTCATGATTAGTAGTAATAAACGAGGTGTACACTCCTTAGGGGAATGAGTTTCAAATAAGTTTTCTCCAAAACCAGATATCTTTCTTAATACTGACTTAAGGTGTCAATGGGCACATCTATCAAATCTTCAGGGTGTACAGTTTTGATGCAGATAAATTTCGAGTATTGCCGGAGACAGAGAAATCAGAATTTTCCCATTATCGTACTTATTTTTTTCTGACTTTATTTGAGATCGAATTTCGAAATAAAAAGTACATTATAATTGTCACTTTTTCTCTTCCATGAGGTGGCATAATTAGACCTTTAATTTGAGGTTTCGTCTCTTGCCATTATTTATTAACCTTATTTTTTCTTATAGATTCCGTATTGGATTTTCATACAGGTGAATAGAGTTATTAATTCTGATCCCAAAGACGTATGCTATGTCATACATTGACATTACAAAACTTAGTTATTAAAAAAAACAGAACTTCCTAAGTAGGCTTTGAAATTTTCAAATAGTCATTTGTTTCATAATATCATATGTTAAGCATTCCTTCAGTTTTTATGAACTAGGCATAGACGACCAGTCGCTATTTCCGATTTTAATGATGTAATATTTTACATGTCACGACATGAACTGATAATTATTATACTACTTCTAAGGTCTAAAAAGTTAATCTTCCTTTAGTTGGTTATCACTCAATGAATTAAGAACATCCTGCTAAAAATTTTTCATATTATTTAAGGGTTGTGTTGTAAACAATCATGTTATGTAACCGATAGAAACATTTTAGAACAAATAAAAGCCGTGCGTTTTCGATATAAACTATAAGGAATGTTGGAAGTTGAGTAATATTTTGATGGAGACGAGCATACACCTTGGGAAAAACCATTATTATACATTATGATGAGGAAGAGAGATGGAAATATACAAAAGTATGTAGGTGCGTGAAAGACACTCGATTATAGGATCTTATCTGGCAGCGTCGGAGTGTGACGGACAACGGGGTAAATTAGAAGAGTGATAAAAGAGAGAGATGGCAGAACGGGCGCTGGCGCCTACCGCTTAGACGGATGCGCTCAACAAATGCGATTTGTTTCTCCCATTCGCAGAGTTGCCGATACCAATATGTCATATTTCTAAGAAATCTAAGTCTACCCAAATTTCGGGAAAAATAGCTGCGGATTCCACATAAGAGTATTCCAAAAATGAAAAAAGTTAAAACTATTAAAATTGTATTAATGTTTCATAGTTCAAATCATATTTTTCATGTTTGTATATTGTTGTATAAATTATTATTGTAATCCCTATTCTTGTTGCCAGTAGAGATACAACAGTATTGAGAGAAATCATGGGCCGCTAGATAGGGCTACAACTACCATATGACTACCAAATAGTAGTGATAAACAGGGTTTGTTTATAGCGAGTTGCGCCATAGGGGCGATTTGACAACTTTGAAGGACAACTATAACGGCTACTATGGTGCCCGGTATTCGGGAATCTGGCAATACCTGATGATTCCTAACGTTTATTACGCCAGAATGTTTGCTGACTTGCGCTGTACAACATGACAATCAACGTGACTGAGCACCTGGTAACCCTGGTTTAAGGTGTTATATTTAAAGAGCTTGAGGCAGTTAGGTATCTAGGTCACATTTTTTAATGTATTTCGAGAAATCCGTAATGTTGAGTGAATACTAGATCAAGTTTCTTGCTTAGTTTGCTGAAAATTCTACAATAGACGTACATTTTGAGAAACAGACATTTGGTGACGACAAAATATAACGCATTTTCGTAAAATAATTTCTTTGTTGAAAAACCTGTGGCTTGATGACCCATTGAACGAGTATAGTGTCCCGCTCCGCTTTGAATATTCGAAACACTATACTCCAGCAGCATTCAGCTTCAATGTTATCTTTATGAAGTTCTAACGTCTAGGCCATGCTGATTAAAAGCTTGAATGAATCAACACTTAACTCTAAATTCCCCACAATTCGGGAAGCTCTACTCAAATTGGCAACACAGCGTATCTGCCTATTATTCTCATTCGTGATACAGGTCTGCGGTTAACGGTAGGAAATATGTACGAATAGCGATGAAAGTAGACGAGCCGATGCGCTGTTGCCAAGAAATGATTTCCCATGTATAACAATGGTTTATCCTAAGGTGTATATCCCAGTGTCCATCTTCATTTTCGTTTGCTCCTTTATCTGTTGCATCGGCTATCCATAAATTATGTTTAATACTTTCTGCGAAGCGTGAATATAATCTTGTTTGAATTAACCTGGGCTCTGTTATTCTTAGGTCTCACTCACAGCCCCATTGTTCTTTCTGATCTTGTTCTAGATATATGCTGGGCTAAACTTAATTAGTCACTGCTGGCACTGAGGTCTCCTAATAATGCCAATGTAAAGTGAGGAAAACTGGGAAGTGAATCTGAATACGTACTCATTCAGCAATCCTAGACCGCAATACAATCTCTACCTTTATTTTAGTCTAGCCTGCATCAGGTTTGGACTTGGATCTTACTGCTAGCAGATACTAGTCAAGATTAAGCATATATGCTCAGGAGAATACCACAGGAGACTATGGAAAAAGTTTTTAGTTAGACCTAGACAATATTATATTCGCGTTTTACCACAAGCACCAAACCGTTATGGATAGCCTTTGCAATAGATAATACGAAGATCCAATCTTAAGCTACGGAATGTCATGCGCCTCATTTGAAATTGTTACTGATGGTCAAAAATACCCATAAATACTTGAGGGAGTTCTTGATTTCAGGATTCGGTCTTAACGTTGTAAGCATGTATAACCGAGAGACTGTATAGCTTTTGGCAAGAACCTTCAGAAACATAATACATTGTGTTTCAGAACTATGGGATCAAACTTGTAGAGGTTATTCAGTGTAACAGTCGAAAACATTTGAGTATATGGACCCATATCTGGCGCTTGTGTGTTATCTTTAAAACCGATAACAGAGATTGTTTTTTGTAGCTGCATTCCATATCGCCTTAGTCGTGCTATCATATTTGTGCAGTTTGCAAGAATTTAACGAAAATTAATTGTTGCTAATGGAAAACTTTGCCAATCAAGTATTGGCGGATATGCATTTGGCATACGGAGGAACAAGCTGCAATGCACGAGCAGCAGCGCGGTTGTATCAAGAACGTTATCCCGAACGACATCATCCGGGATACAAAAAGTTTATTGCTATTCATCGGCGGCTCTCCGAGACAGGCATGTTTAAAACCAACATGCATAATACTGGTGTTGCTCGAACCGTCAGAACGGTCGAATTTGAAGAAGAGGTCCTTCAGCGAGTTGCCGACGAACCATCAAGTAGCACACGTCACATTGCTGAGGATATGAATACGAGTGACGCTTCCGTCTGGCGGGTGCTACACGAGCAACAACTTTATCCTTACCACTTCCAGAAAGTTCAAGGATTGACTGCAGCCTATTATCATCCTAGAGTTAAATTTTGTCAATGGCTTCTTCATCAAATCGCTGCATAACCAAATTTTTTACGCTATGTTTTATGGACCGACGAAACCTCTTTCACAAGAGACGGTATTTTTATTAGTAGGAATAGTCACGTTTGGGACAAAGAAAATCCTCATGCAATTTTTCCTAGAAAACATCAGCAACGTTGGTCTGTCAACGTATGGGGAGGCAATGTTGATGATGATTTGATTGGGCTATACCTTCTACCGGAACGGTTAACAGGACCTATTTACCGGCGTTTCTTGGAAGAAGTTCTTCCAGAACTTCTTGAAAATGTTCCATTGAACGTTAGACAGCAAATGTGGTTTCAGCATGATGGAGCCTGGGCTCACATTGCTGTACAAGTACGTGAGTATTTGGCTCAGCGGTTTGGGCACCGTTGGATTGCCAGAGGTGGAGCAGTTTCTTGGCCTCCTAGGTCACCCGATTTAACGTCGCTAGATTTTTTCCTGTGGGAAAAGGTAAAGTCTTTGTTTTACGAAACTCCAGTAGAAACAGAGCAAGACTTAGTTGGACGAATTACAGCACATTTGAAATCATTCAGAACGAGTATCACATTTTTAGTCAAGTCCGCCGAAATCATGTGCGACGTTTAAATCGGTGTATTCAGGTTGGAGGAAGACATTTTGAACAATTGTTGTGATGATATCATGTACAAAAGACAAAAATTAACTGTATTAAATCTTATTCAGGCAACTCATCGTCTTTCTAAATTTCAACAAGTCTTAGCGCCGTAGTGCTGTAGTGACACACCTTTCCGGATATGGGTCCCTATACTCAAATGTTTTTTTACTGTTACACTGAATAACCCCTAGAAGTTTGATCCCTTCGTTCTGAAACACCCTGTATATGGTTAATTTCCTTCGCGTATTTTTTTTTAAATACAGTTGGTTCGATCTGGGTGTTTTCGAATCTCTACTACTAGGAGAAAGAATTAAAAAAATATTGAAACATGTAGTACTTCGTGGTGCCTGGACAAGCGAGTGAGATACGGATGGCCTTGAAATTCCCAGTTTTTCCAATTTATGTTGCCTGATAAACGATTGTTTTGATTAATAAATGTTACCTCAAAACATTTAAATGCCATTCAAGGCTAACATTTTGTGACGAACATTGCCGTAGAAAGTATATAGAGGTCCGATACTAAGTGTACAGATCTAATTCATTGGAGGTACGAAAATTATATTAAATATATGATAATCTAGACTTTTTATGTTAATCTGATAGGGTTAAATATATAGCAGCAACGTACATGTCGAGAAAGAAAATATGTAATTATG